TTGTGACAACTCTGAGGTAGCTACTGTTCTTAGCCCCACTTTAGAAATAAGGAACCATGGCACAGAGAGGTTAAGTAGCTTGTCCAAGGTCACACAGCCAGTAAGTGCAGAGCCAGGACTCAGACACAGCCTGTTTTTAAAGCATGTGGAGTGAGAGCGAGGCTGTCACCCTGCATCACTGCTGTGCGGATGGCAGGTGATTATTCCAGGACATGGGAGGTGCTCAGTTGATGTCAGATGTATCCCGGTGGCCTGGACCTGGCTGTCATCCCTTCCTTCAGGCTCAACTTCTAGCCCATTTTTGGCCCGGATGCCTGAAGCCACCTCTGCCAGGTGGGAAATCTCAGGGACTGACCTAGAGGCTGCTGGTGACACTGGACGGGCCTCCTACAGCATCATCCTGTCCTCTGTGGTTCACACTGACTCTGGTGTCCTGGCCCCCCTGCAGGCAAGCGAGGTGACCTCCCATGTCCCACCCGCCCCGAGCTGGAACTCTCTGTCCTGGAGGCAGCCCGTGCCCTCCTCCCTTCCCTGGGAGCTCTCAGCACCCCACCAGCTGGGACCCACTGCCAAGGGGCACTTCTCCCTGAAACCTGCTCCCTGGACCAAGCCCAAGGGGACCTTAGGATCAGGGGATGAGGTCCAGCCCAGGGCACTTTAAATAGCAGCCCCGCTGCTCAAGGCCCGTGGCGGGAGCACGTTACCCTGTCAGGGCTCATATGTGCTCAGTCTGGCCCTTACCGATCAGCTGGAGCCAATCATGGGCATCTGCAGCACCTGCCCAAACCCCAGCACCTGTCACAGATCACCCTGCCACGAAGTCCCCAGAAGCCCCTCAGGAGCCCTGTTGATGTGATGCCCCCCACCCACCCACCGTGAATGGAGCCCTGGGCTCCGCCAGGACCTATGCAGACCTCTGTGACCTTGTCCCAGCCAGCTCTCGCTGCAGCCTTCCATGGGGGTGCTGTTGTCCCCGTTTTGCAGCTGAAGAAACCAAAGCCCTAGCACAGTTAAGACAGCCAGAGGAGAGGATGGTCAGGGAGAGCACTGGGGAGCGACATTTCCCCAAAACTGAAGGATTTGAGCGAAGACAGAAAGGAGCCATGCCCCCAGCGCTTAGGGCAGCTGCTTCAGGGGGATGGAGCAGTGGTTTGGAGGGGCCAGGACTGCCCAGGGGGAGAGGAGGTGTGAAGGAGAGCAACGCTGCAAGGCCCCCACCCTCCGGGACTCTCGGTTGAGCTGGGACAGGGGTGGGCAGCAAGGAATCAGCAAGTGCCCAGGGCTACACTGGGATGAGGGAGCCCATAAGGGTTCAGCCTGTTCTGCGTGAGAGGAGTGCAGGTTGCTGTCAGGGAGGGTTTCAAAGGGGGCTGACTTTTGGTTGGCCCGAGAAAGATGAGTAGGATTTTGCCCGGCTGAGGAACTGGGGTAAACAAAGCACAGATTCCAGTGAGGTGTTTTTAGGGAGCAGCAAGTTTGGGGGGTCAGGAAAGGAGGGTGAGGCAGTGTGAGAAGGGGCTGGAGTGCCTCCCCAGCCAGAAGGCGGCCCTGTGCCTGTCTATGCCTGGGATCCTTAGGGCTTGGGGAGTATCTTCCTGCTCCAGGATTCAGAGAGGGCAAGGCACCTGCCTAAGGTTGCACAGCCTGCCTGCCAGTTACTGAGGCCGTTAGCTGCTGCCTGAGAGGCTTGGACTTTATCCTGCAGACCACTGGAGCCATGGAAGGTTTTTAAAGTAGGGATCAGCATGTGCATCTTAGAAAACAGTTTTGCATTTTTAGAGAGAGGAGCTCTGAGAATGGTTAATACTTAACTCAGGGGCCTGAATCTCCATCAAGGAAATTGGGCTTTGTGGGTGGAGGAAGAAGGGGGCCTCGGAGTGCCACTCAAGTCATTCCATCCACGTGTGGGGTTGTCCTGGTGCGCCCCCCTCACACCTGCTTCTGTTGGGGGGGTGCCCAGCCAGGGGCATGGGAGGCACCCAGCAGTGCCCCTGTTCTCCCCCCGCCCACCAGCGGGGGCGCCACACCTCCCCTGGAAGTGCCCCTGGTCTGGGTAAGGAAGGGAGGCTGTGCACTGCCCCCACTGAGGTTACTGAAGGGCACGGACCCTGTGCCCTAGGGTAGGAGAGCCAGAGGTGGTGCTTTGTGGCAGCCCCGGACCAGGAAGCAGCCTCTGCCCTCCCCCATCCTGAGACATTTCCTCCGGATGAAATCACATCCCCAGCTGGGGAACAGGCCCCCATTGTGAAGGGCTGGGGTCTCGAGAGAAAGGGCGTCTTTCAGGCCCTTAAAAATAGCAGCCCTGGGATGTATGAATCTGTATGGAGTAGGGTGGCCCATCCTCCCCCCAGCAGCAGCACAGGCCCCGTCATCCCCCCAGCCCACACCATGACCTGGTGGTGACCAGCTGGAGCATCCACTAGCCCAGGCCGCTGGTCCACCGGGTTCACGCACTCTCCCTCTGCTTCACCCGCCTGAGCTAAGACTGTCGCTGGCTTTGTCCAGCACTGCTGGGCCCTCTCGTGCGGTCTGCACTAGACCCTTAGCAGGTGGGGATAATCGGCACTTTACAGATGAGGAAACTGAGGCACAACTAGTAAGTCATACCTTTAGTGGGTGATGGAGCCCGGGTCGGAAGCCAGGCAGCGCTGGGCCTAGGATTCTGCAGTGGTGGGCTGGGCCCGGGTGCAGGCTGGAGGGCGCGGGGTGTGGTCCCCAGGCCTGTAATGGGGCACCCGGTGGGGTCAGCCCGCAGCAGCCCTGCCACGTGACCTAGGTGGGACTGGCACTGACCACAGCTGTCGGCTGGGCACTCCCTGAGCCGGGGGACAGAGGCTGCCACTGGCCATATCACTCCAGGGTCTTGACAGATCTTTGGCCACTTCTGCAGGGGAGCCAGGCTCACCCCACCTCTCCCGCCTGAGAGCAGGTAGGGTGGGGCCGCGTGCAACCGAGGTTGTTAAATGAATGATACGTGTGAGTTGAGGGAGTTCCTGCCATTCTAGACTCCAAGAGGTGAAGGGCGGGGGTGAGAGCAGGCGATTGGGAAGGGTTCACCCTTGCATCCCTGAGCACGAGATGTTCTAGGCTCCTGGCAGGGCAGCCCTCACCCGCCAGCCCCTCTGGGACAGCCCTCCCCTTCCTCTGCCGGGGTCTGGCCTGATTAGAGCGGCGCTGCAGCACCTGCTGGGACCTCTCAGTCACTTCATTTGTGTGAGGGGCCCCTGAGCCCAGCCCCACGCTCCAGCTCACCCTCCGCGGGCCACCTGGAATCAGGGAAGGGCTGTAGAGAGCTGGTGGCTGAAATACCAGCTGCTGGCAGCTCTGCCCTTCCCAGCCCTGCTGCCACCCATGGAGTCCCAGCCCCTCCCATGCCGTCCGTCCTTTCAAACCAGAGCCGTTGCGGTCAGCCACTCGTCACAGACACAGGACTGGAGCCCCAGCCTCCTGCAGTCCCAGACCCCCACTCCCCGGACACCCTGCCACGCAGCTCCGCGCTCGCCATCCTTCCCAGAATCCGTGCTCCGACTCCTCCTCGGAGAGAGTGGGATGATGTCACTTCCTGAGGGTGGGGGGAGGAGTAGGCACGACCCCAGCAGGCTAGCCCGCCAGCCTGCCCGCCAGGCCGCCACCTCTCTGGGAGCATCCTGGCAGCGGCTGGATGAAGTGGCTGCACCAGGGAAAGGGCGACCGAGACGGGCTGGGCTGGACGTGCTGGCCGGCCACCTGGCTCCACACCCCGTCGCCCACCCTGAGGGCCGCGCCCACCGGCCGGGGAGACTTGGCCACTTCCCGAGTGATGCCGGTCTCCGCAGACACTCTTTTTCCCTGGAGCCGTCACCGGGGAGAGGAGGACTTGCTGCCCACCTCTGGACCAGGTGCCATGTAAGCCTCTGCCAGCCTGGGGGCAGCTGCCCACCAGCACCCAGCCTCCCGCAGCAGGGCTTCCTCCGCACAGTTGAGCCCAGGGCTGCCCCAGAGCCCCTCACCCGTGTCTCCCGGGCCCCTGCTGTGGGGAGCCAACCAGCCGGCGCCCCTGCCCTGGTTCCTGGGGCTCTAGGGATGGGGGAGGCCCGGATTCCTGGGCCCTCCTCCCTGAGCTTGCCTGTGGCTAACTTGAATTCAGCTACTTAAGAGAGTTGAGATCTGGGCGGTAAAGGCTGCATGGCCCAGGGTGGGTGTGGGAGCGGTGGTCGCCAGGAGGATGGGATACCCGCAGGGCTTGCCTCCTGCCCTTCCGGCAGAGGGGCTAGGCACCCCAGCTACACTCCTGACCCCCTGTCTCAACCACGTCCTTCCCTGCCGAGAGGCACAGCTGTGATTGGGAATTCTGTCTGACGGGTGCAAAATCAAGTCATGGAGCGTGCTCCCAGCATTCCAGCAAAGCACAAAACAGAAGACCTCATTCCGCAAATATTTACCGAACACCTACTATGTGCTGGGCGCTCCCATCCTCCATGTGTGCCAGCCCCACGCATGCCCTCACCCCCACCTTCCCCAAGGCCTTCAGCCTTCCACCTGCCCGGCTCGGCTCATGCCGGGAGACAGGCTCAGGCTTGGCCTGGGAAGCCCTCACCCAACCCCAAGGACAGAATGAACTGGGCAGCAGGTGGTTGGTGATCCCATGGAAAGGGAGGCAGGGCTGAGCCCAGGTCTTTAAGGGAGCTGAGCAGTTCCTGTTGGGGTGACCCCAAGCAGAGCTGATCCCAAGGGGTCTGTGCCAGTCTTGTGGGGAAGGAGAGTCCTCAGGGGTAAGACTGAAGCCAGTGTCTGGCTGCTACAGTTTTAGATATCGGCTCCAGGGGGTGGATACTGTGAGAGGTGGATCCTGCCCAGGGATGGGCCTGAAAGCCCCAGGGCTGTAGGGCCTGGGAGAGATGCCTCTGCTGCTGGGCACACCTGACCAGGAGCGCGGTGGCCCTGGGTGCCGCAGCAGCCCGGGCAGCCTCAGGGTCCTCTGCTCTGTTTCAGGAGGTGAGCGCCAGGCCCGCTGAGCCTCTGCAGAGCTGCCAGCCATGCCCGGGATCGTGGTGTTCCGGCGGCGCTGGTCTGTGGGCAGTGATGACCTCGTCCTGCCAGCCATCTTCCTCTTCCTCCTGCATACCACCTGGTGAGTCTCGGGGCCACGCCACAGGCCTGGAAGGAGGCCCGCTGGCCATCTGTCCCAACCCTGTTGTGTTCCCAGCTCCCCGGAGTTGGTGCTGAAACGGCTACGCCTTTAGGGCGATACCCCTGTGGAGCCCAGAGACCCCGCCTGGCCACCGCCGGACCTGACCCCAGCACTGGGTGGAGCCAGTGTGCTGTCTGCCCACGGCTGGTGGCTGGGCTCCCTGCTCTCGCTCCCCTGTCCCCGGATGCCCGTGTCCTCAGAGGGACTTGATGCCAGGTAGACAGGGGTCCTGCTCCCAGAGCAGTGAAGCCCTCCACCCTGCGTCCAGGCTGCGTGCGGCCGCCCGCCAGAGGCCGTGGGAGGTGCGTGGGCCGCCTGGCCCCTCTCATGTGCACGTTCCCCCAGGTTTGTGATCCTGTCCGTGGTGCTCTTCGGCCTGGTCTACAACCCGAACGAGGCCTGCTCCCTGAACCTGGTGGACCACGGCCGCGGTTACCTGGGCATTTTGCTGAGCTGCATGATCGCTGAGATGGCCATCATCTGGCTGAGCATGCGCGGCGGCATCCTCTACACGGAGCCCCGCGAATCCATGCAGTACGTGCTCTACGTGCGCCTGGGTAAGGGCCCCCTGCCGTGGGTGAGGGGGCCGCTCCGGCCCACCCCACCCCCACCCCCCTCCTGGGCCCAGCGTTCTTTCGGCCACACACGATGGGCTGGGCCCTGTGCCAGCACCAGGGCCAGCAGCGAACAGGCAGACTTACTGGGCCGGCTTCTGGACCGGGGGTGGGCAGACTGCGGCCTGAGGGCCAAGCGCAGCCCGCCGTCTTTTTTTTAAATAAAGTTTTATTGGAACCCAGCCACACTCATTCATTTAGTACATTAGTACTGGCTGCTTTTGCATGACCACAGCAGAGCCAAGTAGTTGTGACGGACGTTATGACCCACAACATCTAAAAATATTATTTACTCTGTGGCCCTTTACAGAAAAAGGTTGCCGACCGCTGCTCCATCTAGGCTGTGCATATCTCTTCAACGTCTTTGTGGTCCTTCCCCAAACAGCGCCCCCCCCCGCCCCAGGGAAGCCCCTCAGGGGCCTGGACCAGCTCCCAGAGGACCCGCCTGTCTCCTCTTCCTTGGGCTCGGGTCACAGCCGCCTCTCCCAGTCACTCCTGGTGGATGCTCTTGTGCTCCTGTGGCCTCTGCTAAGTCCTCTTCCCGTGTTAACTCAGGGAGGAGCCATTGTTGGCCTCATTTTGCAGATGAGGAATCTGGGGCCCAGGGAGGTTACTTTGCTCTCTTAAGGTCACATGGCTAGTAAGCATATGAGTGTCAGAGCTGAGATTTGAACCCAAGTTGGCTCTAAAGCCTGGGCTCTCGGCTGCCACACTGGGATGCCTATAGAGCTGGGGCTTCCAATGCTGCCCACTGGGGGGCCGTCAATTCTCCCACCTGCCTCCCTAACCCCATCTCAGCCCTGGGCCCACTGCTCTGGTCTGGGCAGGGCACCTTGGGCAGCTGGCTGCTGGGGCCCCTTCCCTCTCCTGCCTCAAGTGCCAGAGGCCTCCTCCTGGGAATAGTTTCCATGAAATGAACACCCTGTCACCCAGTTCTCACAGCCCTGTACCATGGACCTTGTCAGCCCCATTTTACAGACGAGGAAACAGAGGCTCAGAGAGATTAGATAACTTGCCTAGGATGCGTCTGATCCCAGAGTTCATGGATATAGTTCTAATTCCTGAACGAACAGAGAAACGCCTCTTCGTCATGCACCTTTGCTGTCACCTTCTCAGGGGGACGTCAGGGCCTGAGGGCACATGAGTAGAACCGGTGGTGGGACAGCCACGCTCCCTGGGCCCTCTGCGCCACGAGGCCTGTGTGGCAGGGGCGGCGGGCAGTCTATTGCCGAGCTGGCCGGGCATCCTGTGGCAGGAAGAGCCGGGCCCAGGTTCCAGGGCCTCCCCGTCCTTCACCTGGGGCCCTGCTCTCCTTGCAGCCATCCTGGTGATCGAGTTCATCTACGCCATCGTGGGCATCGTCTGGCTCACTCAGTACTACACCTCCTGCAATGACCTCACTGCCAAAAACGTCACACTCGGTATGTTGGTCGGCCCGGGGGTGGAGGGGCCGGGGCCAGCCCTAACCCTAACCCTAACCCTAACCCTAGCGTGGAGGGCACGGGTCCAGGTTAGACAGGGCAGCCCTGGGGTGCAGGGGACAGGTCAGGTTAGAGAATAGGAAGCTCAGGCACCGTGAGAGGGAAACAGTTTCCATGAGGACGCCGGGCAGTCTGCCATACCGCCTTGGGAACCCTGGGTTTCGGGGGCAGCAGCAGGCACAGTGCTGCCCGGGGCTCCGGAAACCCACACAGCTGTCTGCTCGTGCCAAGGGTGGGCCTTGGGGTCACGGCTCAGCCAGGGGGCACGGCTGTGTGGCCAGAGGCTAGGGCCAGGGCCTTTGGAGCCTTGCTGTTGGGCCCCAGAAGCAGTTGGGGGTAGGGAGGCTGCAGTGCCCCTTCTTCAGAGCCAGCGAGATGTCCCCAGCACCATGACCCTTGGCTTCCCACGGCCGCCTCCACAGGGATGGTTGTCTGCAACTGGGTGGTCATCCTGAGCGTCTGTATCACCGTCCTCTGCGTCTTCGACCCCACGGGCCGCACCTTTGTCAAGCTGAGGGCCACCAAGAGGAGGCAGCGCAACCTGCGGACCTACAACCTGCGGTCAGTGGGCCGGGCGGCGGGCGTCCCCCGCGGGGTTTGCTGACGGTGGGCAGAGGCCGGCCCCACACCTCTCTCCCGGCGTCTAAACCTGTGTGAGCCCCGGGCGCCGGCCAAAGGCTTACCACAGGCTCCTGGTCTGTAAAGTGGGAACCGCAGTAATTCCTGCCTCGTGCTCTGCTGTGAGGTTTAACAGAGTGTTTAACACCGTGCTCATGGGAGGTTCGTGCTCAGTAAATGGTAGCCACTGTCATCATCTTCAGCGCTAACACGAGAGTAATGGTAGGAAGCGCTCGGACGGCGAGCCAAGAACTGCATGTATTAACTTACAGTAACTCGCTGACGTAGCTGTTAGCATCATCCCCGTAATATAGAGGAAGAAACAGAGGCACAGAGAGCTTATGTGAGTTGTCTGAGGTGACAGAGCTGGTAAGTGGTGGGGCTGGGGTCAAGCCTAGGCAGCCTGGCTTTAGAGCCCTTGCTCTTAAGCACTAGGCGAGGCTGCCTCTAGGATTAAGGGGGCTGGAGGAGGTTAACCAAGGAAGGCTTCCTGGAGGGGAGATGTTTTGCACAGTGTTTTGGAGAAGGTGGGGAGGCCGTGCCATGGTGGAGAAAATGCGGGAGGACGTCCAGGCACATTCACAGGGTTCCTGTTTATTGAAAGAAAAAGAGAGGGGGGTGCTTCCAGGGTGGGTCACAGTGACTCCTATATATTGAGCTTCTGTTCTGCATTAGGCCCTGCACTGAGCCCCTTCCGCCATCAGTCTGTTTAATCCTTTTGCCAGCCCTGGTGCGGTTGTGAGACCCATTCTACAGATGAGGGGTCCAAGTCCCAGAGTGGGCAGGTCACTTGCCCCAGGTCAGGCTGGTGGGGAGTGGAACTGGCACTCCATCCCCAGCCCAGGGCAGCAGGGTCAGGAGCCCTCAGCCAGGGGAGTGTGCTGCCCATGCCCCCACCCCACCCTCGTGCACCTCTGTGTCCCAGCTCCCGTGGGCCCTCCGCGTCAGCTCGGCACTGCAGCCAGAGCCTCACCCATGCCTGGGCTGGCCACCTCCCAGCCCCAAATGCCAGATTTTGGAGCCAAGGCCCCAGAGCCTGTTGTTCCTCTGGGCGCAGCTGGCCACGACCACCAGTGCCATTCTGCTCATTCCAAGCACATGCCCCCACCTGGCCTGGTTTCTGGGCTCCTGGGGCCCTGGGGAAAAAACTCTCCCCTCCCCAACTCTGGGTAATTGCCTTTGGGGCCCAGGGCAGCCAACGCCTCTGCAGTTGGGGGTTGTTGGTGGCTGTCATCTGAATTAGAAAGTTTTCCAGCAGTGCCAGGCCCTGTGCGGGTAGTGAGAGTCCTCAAGCTCACAGGTCCCCACCTGTTGTGGTTTGTCCAGCTCTTGAGCGGGCTTGGGAGGGCAGCCCAGTCCACAGCTGGGTTGCTGTGACCACCTCTCAGGCTCTTCCCCGCTCGCCCTCCCTCCGCTCTGAAACCAACAGACAGTTTTTCTAACAGGGACGTTTTCAAGCCTGCTGACCCTTCATCCGCTTCCAGGTTTGGGGCTGTGCACAAGCCCTACTGCCTCACACCAACGGGTTGTTTTAGTCTCCGGGAGTCAGGGAGCTGTTTAAGTCCTTTGCTCTTTCTCCTTCCAGTGAAATCTGCTGGGGTTTGGGGTGGGTTCTTCCCACCACTGCTTCCTAGAAGCCTGACCTTGGATCTTTGCGGAAGGAGTGTCTGCCCTCCCTTCGCTTTAGTGAGCCCCAGGGCAGGGGGTGCTGGGTCCATGAACTTTCTGTCCAGACATTTTTTTAAATTTATTTATTTATTTTTGGCTGCCTTGGGTCTTCATTGCTGCACGCGGGCTTTCTCTAGTTGCAGCGAGGGGGGGCTACTCTTCGTTGCGGTGCACAGGCTTCTCATTGCGGTGGCTTCTCTTGTTGCAGAGCACGGGCTCTAGGTGTGCAGGCTTCAATAGTTGTGGCACGCGGGCTCAGTAGTTGTGGTTCACGGGTCCTAGAGCACAGGCTCAGTAGTTGTGGCGCACGGGCTTAGTTGCTCCACAGCATGTGGGATCTTCCCGGACCAGGGTTCGAACCCGTGTGCCCTGCATTGGCAGGCGGATTCTTAACCACTGTGCCACCAGACAAGCCCACTTTCTGTGCAGATTGAGTGTGTCTCTCCCTGTCCTGGTCTATGTAGCCTAACTGATGCTTTATGCCAAATGTGTCATTGGCTCCATCTTCCCCCTGGTGGGCATAAAGGGTACTGCAGTAGAGTATACAGCACTTAACATCTGCCAGAGGGAAGGGAGGAAATTCTCTTCGAGTGTTTAAAAGCCAATTTGGTTAGAAAGGGTTAAAGAACGTGATGCTCTGGGAACTCAGCTTGGCCAGCATGCTGTCCCTTCATCAAGTTCCCAGTAAGGGGGACGTTGGCTTAGGATGTGAGGCTGCCCAAGTCCCTTAGGGCTGGCAGGTCCCAGAAATAGCAAATCCCTTGCACCGTTTCCTAACCCCCTCCTGTAGCCCTGGAAGGCTCTGTGGCTTTCCCTGTCCTTGTGGCCCATGGCCCGTGGAACCAGGGTTGGGAGCAGGAAGCGGCCCTTAGTTGCAAAGAGGAGCCAAGAGGCAGGGGAGGGGGACCCGGTCTGTCACTCCTGATGGATGCTAAGTGCCTTGCAGGCATCCAGGGCCACCCGTGTCATGTCTGCCCCTCCTGACTACCCAGCGCCAGGCTCTGAAGGAGCTGAGGGGAGGGCATATGTCACAAAAGCAAGCCAGCCCCTCGTGCTCAGTCTGGAAATTTACTTTTTTTTTTTTTCGGTACGCGGGCCTCTCACCATTGCGGCCCCTCCCGTTGAGGAGCACAGGCTCCGGACGTGCAGGCCCAGCGGCCATGGCTCATGGGCCCAGCCAGTCCGCAGCATGTGGGATCTTCCTGGACCGGGGCATGAACCTGCGTCCCCTGCACTGGCAGGCAGACTCCCAACCACTGTGCCACCAGGGAAATTTACATTTTTAATATTGGATCTGTTATCTTTATGCTCAAAATACACTGACTTCTGGGCACCCAGCATTGGAAGGGTCTCTGTGGATAATCAGTCAATTGCTCTCCCTTTGGGTGCAGACTCCTGGGTACCCTGACTCCCCATCAGAGCAGCCAGACCCATTGGGGCTGAGGTTGAGGGTGGAACAGACAGGGGCCAGCCATGCAGATGAAGGGCAGGGGCCCTCTCCCCTCTAATGTAACAGATCCAAGGAGTTGAAGAATGCAGAGCCTCATTCAGCCCCTTAAACTTCCCCAAGTACAGACAATGTGAGAAATCCTTTCTGAGAGGGGAAATAGGTCTGCTCCAGGCCAGGAAACACGTCGGCAGAGAGGCCAGCACCCTGCCACCATCTCCCAGGGCTCTTGATTTGAGCTTTTGGAGTGGGCCGCAGGGCAGCCCCCAGTTCGGGCTGCCAGCTCTGAAGCCCCCAGAGTGTGCTGTTGTCAGTCTGCCAGAAGCTGGGAGCATAGGCCCTGGCCTCGGCCAACAGTGCGCCATCTTAGGCCATCAGGAGCCCCCCAGGGAGAGCCCAGGTCACTGGCCGGCCGGCCTTAGCCGGACCCAGGCCTATTCTCCCCTAGACCTTCCTACTGGGGAGCCCTTTGCTGGGGTCCTGGGAACAGGCTGTCCTGTTTCTGTAATGTCTGGGCCCAGCTCTTCTGGTCGGGCCCTCTGACCTCACACATACCAACTCTCCCCCACTGCAGGCACCGCTTAGAAGAGGGTCAGGCCACCAGCTGGTCGCGCCGGCTCAAAGTGTTCCTCTGCTGTACTCGGACGAAGGACTCCCAGTCAGTAAGTACTGGGAAGTCGCCGTCCTGGGGCTCACATCCTGCTGTCGTCGACTCAGGAGCCTTCCCTCCGCAGCTCTGCCGGGTGGGGCAGGGCTGGTCTTTGAGCAGGAGTGAGGTGACAGCCTGCTCCTAAGAGGACCTGTTATTATTCACTGAAGGACTCCCTCCAGCATGTGAGACAGTCAACCCCTTGCTTTGTCAAGGAGACAGAAACATGTGAAGACCTTTTATCCACCCCCTTGGAACTCAAGAGTTTAGTTTAGGAGAAGAGATGCTCAAATATCGGGGCAAGCTGAAGACAGAGAAGCAGCATCTCAGCAGCTGTAGGTCCCTCTGGAAGATCCAGCCCTCGATGTGCGCTGTTAGCCTTCCACACCCGCCAGGGCGCTGCGGGTCAGTGGTGGGTGGCCCCCGGGTTGGGGAGGGGAGGCAGGGCCCTGGGGGGGGCCCTCGGCGGAGCGCCCCCCCCCGCCCAGCGCTGGCAGGGCCTTTAGGGGTCACCTAGTCCCACCCTTCGTTTTGCAGATCAGACAGCTGAGGCCCAGAGAGGTGGAGTGACTTACTCAGCATTCCACAGCTAGTTAGTGGCAGAGCAAGTGAGGTCAGGAGACCACTCCTCCCCAAGCCAGACAGCAGGTGCCCTCCATGGAAGTCCCCGGAAGCCTTGAGTGGCTCCTACCCACTAGCAGCCCCTGGTGAGCTGTGGAGTAATCAAGCGTAAGAAAGTCCCTCCCACCCCCAGAGGTTCCCTCGTGGGTGGGAAGCACCCCCCCACACCCCGGGGATCTCAGGGGAGTCTGAGGGGTCTCAGCTCAGGGCGTGCAGAGGACACACCCACCCCTCCTGGCAGACAGCTTCAGGGCTGGCGTTGGAGCCTGGGGAAAAAGCAGAACGTCTTTTCTCAAAGAGGCCGAGGCTCCCCAAAACCTAGGTCCCATCAAACACTGACGGCCTGGGGGTCAGGTCAGGTCAGGTCCAGCCCAGAGAACGTTTTGATCAACTCATGCTGTGTTGCTTAAAAATTTGAATTGGTGGCCAACATTTAAAAATCAGGGGAGTGT